CCAGCCAACTGTTGTCATGAAAGTATATCGTTGCTATGAAGGCCAATGGTTCAAGAGAAGCCAGAAACCTAGATTTTCATATGAAACCTCCAGATTTTAAAATGCTGCTTTAAAATGTACAATGCCTGCCAAACCAAACCTATCTGCAGGCCACATCCAACTCGCAGATTGCCAGTGTGAATCTTCTAAATTAGTTGAATACTGAGGCCACCTGTAGGTCTATGACTCTGTGGCAGTACAGCATCTCGTTACTAAAAATTCTCATTGAATGTGTGTTTCTTCACCTGTTGTCCTGGTGGGGCAATTGTTAAGCACGCAGCTGCTAACCTAAAGGTTGGCGGTTCGAACTTACTCAGTGGCTCCTCGGGAGAAAGACCTGGCAATCTGCTCCCGTAAAGATTAGAGCCTAGAAAACCCTATGGTTTTTCTATGGTTCTAGTCTGTCACATGGGGTCGCTGTGAGTTGAAAATCAACTCGACAGCACCTAACAACAACATGGTTTCTTCACTACCAAAGATGCAGTTTATCCAAATCTGACATGCCAACTTACTTCATTTTGTGACTTTTATCTTCACTATAAATAGTCACAAATCTTAACAGCCAATGTCTGTATAGAGCCTTTATTCAAGGAAGCAGAGTCATAAATAGAGATAGATTCTGCTGAACACATCTGGGACAAAAACAATCAAAGAGTAATTTTCACAGGGGCACAATTGTGTAAAAATTGTCATGTTCTTCCACAAAGATAGCAATCACCTTTAAATACAAAGGACAGCATTATAGTCATTTCAATATCTAGCTCAGTGTTTGCTAAGAAGATTAGCTGTCAGTCTTTCATAAGGAACGTTTTACTCACCACAGTTAATTATCTTGTTGGTTCACAGGTCTAGAAAACATGAAGACTATGATAGTTTTCCTATACATCTTGGGAGCTGTGGCTGCAATCCCGGTCAGTTTCCTTTTTGCTGTTATTATATATCTGTCCCTTATGACATTTAGTTTAGAAATACAACATTTAAAAAAAAATTCTTATATTATGGTTTGACATTCTCTTTTTTAATTATGTTTTTTATTGCCCAAGCAGGGAATGCATGAATAAGAAAATCGAGATAAGGTTCTTTTTTAAAAATTATTTCTTTCAGAGCTATCAGATTCTAACAGATTCAATAAAATGTGCAGCTCAAAGTGTTGGTTAGCAGCTTATTAGCCACAGAATATGCCTGAATATCAAAAAGAATAGGAAGGAATAAATTATCCTGCAGAAGCTCATCACATTGGTATGAGAAATCTAAGAATGCATATCACGTTTTTCATCAGCATTTTCTTCAAGATCAAATACATAATGGCTGAGAAATTCTGTGAGAGTCTGTAATAAATACAGGAAGCAATGGGTTAGGGGCAGTAACTGGTATGGTAACCATTGATTGGGTCCTAATTCCCTCTTGGGAGGTTGTCCAAGCAAACATGTCGAAAGCAGACAGAACAAGAACATTATCTTCTTCATGGTCATATTGTCCATTAATGACCCAGATGTACTTGCTCTAGCATTCACACAACAGTAAAGCAGCTATACACCAATCAGATCATTTGAGACCATGTCAACAGCCCCAAAACAACCTGAAAGTTAAAAAAAAAAAAAAAAATGAAACCATGGCTTGGTTGATACCTTCTAAATTATCCATACCTTCCTTAATCAAACCAAATGATCTGTGCATTTTTTCTTTTTCACCAAACAGAGAAATCAGGCTCCCTCCCCCCATAAAGTCCTTGCTTTTTGGATACCAGTGGCTGTCTCTGGTTGACTGATACGTCAGCAAAGACAAATTCCATGCCATCCCGACCAAGCAGTTCTTGGAAAACAGAATTTATGTATGACCACTACTAAGAATCATGCTTAAGCAGTGTGGAGCTGCTCCAGCTGAAACTATGCAATGAACAAAAAGCAGACAAATTAATGTTCAGCACAGAAAGAAGCTCCCATAGACCCATGCTTTTTATCCTGAAATGTGTTTTGCCCTTGCAGCTGTTACTGCTGTGTAAATAGACATCAAAACAGTCTTTGAACCTCTTGTTTGAGTGACATGCCTGCATGTAGACACATATCAGATGTGTTTTTTCTAGGGGAATTTATCATGCAGGCCCAACCAACCACTAGAAAACCAAATAGCTTCTTATATGATTTGCCTATTAAAAGTTCTGTGTCATTTTCCCTCCACTGCTTGTCTGTCAGCTTGTCATACTGTGGTGGCTTTCATGTTGCTGTGATGCTGGAAGTTATGCCACCGGTATTACAAATACCAGCAGGGTATGATGAAGTAAAAAAGTAGAAAAGAACATTTCAAAGGGCTGCTTGAGAAGACAAAGTAAAGTATTATAATGACATCTGCAAAGACCCGGAGTTAGAAAACCAAAAGGGAAGAACACACCTGGCATTTCTCAAGCAAAAGAACTAAAGAAAAAATTCAAGCCTCGAGTTGCAATACTGAAGGATTCTACAGGGAAAATATTAAATGACGCGGCAAGTGTCAAAAGAAGATGGAAGGAATACAAAGAGTCACTGTACCAAAAAGAATTCATCAATGTTCAAGCATTTCAGGAGGTAGCATACGATCAAGAACCGATGGTACTGAAGGAAGACATTCAAGCTGCACTGAAGGCACTGGCGAAAAACAAGGCTCTGGGAATTGATGGAATTCCAATGGAGATGTTTCAACAAATAAATGCAACACTGGAAGTGCTCACTCATCTATGCCAAGAAATTGGGAAGGCAGCTA